GAGGAAGGACAGCATCCTAGACCTAAGGGCCATACTATAGTTAGGACTATGGGCAAAATGATAAACTCACTGTAACAAAGCTTAAAATCAAACTTTCACAGCATCAAGATTATCTACTGTAATTTAACAGCTAGCCAGAAGAAAACACACTTTTTAGAAGAAAGCAGAATCCAGAGTTTTCACAACACATCCACACCAGTACACAATAAAAAAATTACTAAACATACAATGAAAAATTATATCCATAAACAATAGAAAATATGTAGAAGCAAATGCAGAGATTGCTCACAGGTTGGAATTAACAAAATTATTTTAAATCAGCTTTAAAACTTATTAAAGAATTAATAGGAAAAAAATGAACAGATTAGGATTTTTGGTGGAGAAATAGATACTAAAAACCAAATGGAAAGTCTGGTAATGAAAAAAGAATTTGAAATGAAATCTAGTATCTGAAATAAATTTCACTGGATGGGCTTCAGCATGAACTGGACAGCAGAGGAAAGACAGCTGACAGAGAGATAGAAAAATATAGCAAAGTTTGATACCTGTGGGACAGTATCAATCTAATTTACCTCTGATTTGAAATCCAAAAGGAGAGGAGAGGAAAAGAATGGGGCAAAAGAAACATTTGATGCAGTAATGCCTAAAGTTTTCTTCAAATTGTTGAAAGACATCAACTTACAGATCCAAAAAGTTCAGTGAAGCTCAAGCAGAATAAATACAACAAAGACTATGTTTGGATACATCACATTGCCAAAAAATAAAAAAACAAAATTATAAGCAGTCAGGGAGGGGAAATGCCATTACATTCAAACAATCATTGACCCCAGAATATGGATTAATCAAAATGGTCAATGGACAAGACAGGGAATGTCCTCATGGAGGCCTAGGATAACCAAAGCAAAGTTTGACCAATCACTTTTTCAACAATTGATTGCCAGTCTAATGGAACTTGCAACTGTTAGACCTTAGAGCTGGCTTGGATTGAATTGAAGGTTTGTCAGGTTTATACTTAACATCTGTTTCCTTTGGAATGTTCCTTTATACATTAAATAGAAATAATACAATAAAAACAACAGAACAAGACTTTATAATAGAGGTAAAGAACAGCAAAAGCAGCTGGAAGAATAAACAGGTTAATGGCAAAAATATTTTCAAAATAAAAAGTCTAATGATTTTACACAAAGATCTAGATCTAATTAGAAAATAGTATACCTCCAAACTAAAAGGGCTAATTATTCAACATAACCCATTTCTGTGGTTTTATTCCTACTTTGTTGAGTTTTTTGTTTTTCAGATGGGGGTGTTGGATTTGTCAAATGCTTTTTCTGCATCTATTGAGATGATCATGTGATTTTTTCCTTTATTAATATGGTGAATTGCATTGCTTGATTTTCATATGTTAAATGAACTTTTCATTCCTGTGATAATTCTCACACATTCATGGTGTATGATTCTTTTTATATATTGGATTCATTTTGCTATTTTGTTGAGGTTTTTTGCATCTATATTCATATGGGATGTTGGTCTGTAGTTTTCTTGTCTTTCTCTAGTTTTGGCATCAGGGTAATTCTTTGTAGAATGAATTGGAAAGTCTTCCCTCCTATTTTGAAATGTTTGGTAGAATTCACCAGTAAAGCCATCTTTGCCTGAGCTTTTCTTTGTGGAAAATTTTTTATTATAAATTCAATCTTTTGTTAAACAGTCAGATTTTCTATTTATTCTTGAGTCAGTTTCAGTAGTTTGTGTCTTTACAGAAATTAGTCCACTTCATCTATGCTATCTACTTTGTTGGCATACAATTGTTTATAATATTCCCTTATTATCCTCCTTATATCTGTAAGAGCAGTAGTAACTTGTCCCCTTCTTCCTTTCCTGATTTTAGTAATTTCAGTCTTCTTTTTCATGTGGTCGGTCTAGGTAAATCTTTGTCAATTTTGTTGATCTTTTCAAAGATCAAAGGTTTTGTGAATTTTTCTCTATTGTTTTTCTATTCTCTACTTCATTTATTTCCTCTCCAAGCTTTATTACTTACTTTGCTTGCTTTAGTTTGCTCTTTCTCTATTATGATGGAAGGTTAGATTATTGACTTGAGATCTTTCTTCTTTTTAAAATATGGGCATTTATAGCTATAAATTTCTGCCTACAACTTTTGCTGTATCCAGTAAGTTTTAGTATATTGAGTTTTCATTTTCATTCATCTTAATATATTTTCAAAGTTCTCTTGTGATTTCTTCTTTGACCCACTATTAAATACTATGTTTTTTAATTTCCACAAGATGTGAAAATCTCAAATTTCCTCTAGTTATGGATTTCTAATTTCATTCCAGTATGTTTGGAGAACATACTGTTATTTTAATCCTTTCAAATTTATTGAAGATTGTTTTATGGCCTAACATATGTACTATCCTGGAAAATGCTTTATATGTACCTGAGAAGAATGTGTATTCTGCTGTTTTTAGATGGTATACTCTAGAGATATGTTAGGTCTAATAGGTATATAGTATTGTTCAAGTCTTCTATTTAATTGTTGATCTCCTCTATAGTTGTTGTAGTATATTTTTTTTCTTAAAATAGCTTGAGAGATTTCTTTTTGCTATGTCTAAACCCTGTTATAGTCATTAATAAGGAATTATGTAAAGGCACATACCTGTGATTGAATTGTTTAAGGTCATTAAAACAAACATTCTAGGAAAATTAATACACAGGGAAAAGTCAGAATACATCCTTACATGAAGTAGACAGACTACAATATATACTGTTTGAATCCAATTTTGTTTAAAAAAAGACTGTAAAGAAACTTCAAAAAATTATGAATGATTTGCTCTGGGTAAATAAGGCAATAATGTTCTAACCTGTCTTCCTGCTTCTAATCTTGTCCAGGAGTAGTAAGCACACAGTAGCAGGTAAGGCTTTAGAATTAGGTTCTGTAGCACAGAATTCCAGATCTGCCATTAAGTATGTGACCTTGGCATACAATTTTCCAAGCAGGGGCTCATAATAGTACCCATACCAAATGCCAGATAGGATTAAATGAGCTAATACTAAACTCATGAAATGGTGCCTACCACGTTAAGTGCTTAGTAAATGTTCACTATTACTATCCACCTACAATCCATTCTCCGTTCCACAATGTAAAGGTCACTCCCTTGTCAAAACCCTCCACAGGCTTCCTGTCTCACTTAGAAAACAAAACAAAATGAAACGAGTCTCCTTACCCCTCCATTAGAAATTCCTGCTTGATCTGACCCATTTACCATTTAGATCTCTTCATTTCTTCCCCTCAAGCACAAAGCTCCAGACACACTGCCTTCTTTCAGACCTTGAAACACTTCTGCTTGTTTTTGACTTAGGTATTTGTATTGTTTATCCTGCCTGGAATAATTTTCACAGAAAGACTTTGTCATTCAGAAGTCAAATTTCATTTCCTTAGAGAACCTTTCTTGGACTACTATAAATTAGCCACTCAGTCACTCTCTGTAGCATAACTCTATTTTCTACATGACACTATCAATATATTAAACATTTTTTCCTCCCTATTCGTTCTGTCTCTTCTTACTGGGACATAATTTTATGAGACCAGTACCTGATACACACATGTGTTGCATATTCTGTATCACATTATTTTATTTCCTGTATTCTATATTACTTCCATAATAAAATTAATTTCATGAGAATTTAAGTAGTGTTTTAGGAAACAGAACACAGTATCCTGTAATTGGTCTGAGTTCAAGTTCAGCTTCTGTGGAGAACTAGCTGTATGTCTCTGGGCAAGTTTCTTATTCTTCTTGCTTCCTCAAACGGAAATACTATTTATTTCACAAAGTATTGCAAAAAATTACATCACACAACATAGGTAAAAGCGCTTCAGCACTAAATGAAATTTTCCTACCATTACAAATAAACCCTAACCAAACACAAATCAATACCACAACGAGATACCACCTCACAACAGAATGGCTAAAATTAACAAGTCAGAAAACGACAGATGTTGGCAAGGATGTGGAGAAAGGGAAACCCTCCTACACTGCTGGTGGGGATGCAAACTGATGCAGCCACTCTGGAAGACAGTATGGAGGTTCCTCAAAAAGTTGAAAATAGAGCTACCCTACCACCCAGCAATTGCACTACTGAGTATTTACCACAAAGATACAAATGTAGTGATCCAAAGGGGCATCTGCACCCCAATGTTTAAAGCAGCAATGTCCACAATAGCCAAACTATGGAAAGAACCCAGATGTCCATCAGCAGATGAATGGATAAAGAAGTGGGGTGGGTGTGTGTGTGTGTGTGTGTGTGTGTGTGTGTGTATGCCATTTGCAACAAGGTGGATGGAACTAGAGGGTATTCTGCTAAGCAAAATAAGTCAGTCAGAGAAAGACAATTATGATCTCATATGCTGATTTTAAGAAACAAAACGGGATCCTAGAGGAAGGAAGGGGGGAAAACAAGATGAAATCAGAGGAGACAAACCATAAGAGACTCTTAATCATAGGAAACAAACTGAGGGCTGTTGGGTAGGGGAAGGGAGCAGGGGAGGGGGTAACTGGGTGATGGACATTAAGGAGGGCATGTGATGTAATGAGCACTACAAACGCAGGAAAAAACCTACATGTACAACTAATGAATCACTGACCTCTACCTTTGAAACCAATAATACATTATATGTTAACTGAATTTAAATGAAAAATACATTATACATTTTAAAAAATACAAAACAAAACAAAAAACCCTAACCGATCCTTGACAGGGTCTCTAGCTCTCTACTCCACCTACCCCTCATAAGCCTCGGTAGGGTCACTCTAGCCTCTGCCTTCCCCTCTATAGAACGCAATGACAGCCGGGGAGAAGGCGGGAACAAGAGACTTTGCACGCACTTCCGCCCCCGCGACTCTCTCCGCCAATCGGCCTCTGATGCCCCACCCCTTCCGCTCTAGGGAAAAAACCAGCTCCCAGAGCGTCTTCCGGCGGGAGCTGTGCTGCTCCTTATCATGGTGAGTTGGCTGGGGTAATGAGGGTTTCTGTCGTAGATGATTCCTCTTATCGTCTTTCATCCCAAAGCGGCCTTCACATGCTTCAGCTGCCCAGAGGAGGGGTCCTCGGAGTCGTGCTCGGCTCCCCCCACTCCGCAGGAGAAGGGGCTGACGTCCGAAGCATTCCCCGCAAAGCTCTGATCCCCTCATTCTCCTTCACCCAGTTGGTTAGACCTCAGGATCCCGGCCCTGCTCCAGCCCGAGCTTTCAGTTCAGCGAGCTTATGACTTTCCCCTGCCGAGATTTACTTGATATAGAAATAAAAGTCTTTGCCGGCGTCAGCGTCTACAACCAGCGAAAGCTCTGAAAACAAGTTCACAGCAACAGCGACCGTAATTAGTAATGCTTACACCAGTGACAATACCGTTGGCGTTAATAAAGAGGGTTATGAGCAGGATATTGAGGTGAACGCCCCACTCTGCAACTTGGCTTTATGGAGTGCCAGATAGCCTGATACAGCAGCAACTTTAAGAAGGCCAGTGACTGGAGAAAGTCCAGGTGTTGGTAGAGCATCTTTCTTGTAAGTTTTTTCCTGCGTTTGTAGAGCCCAGTATACCTTACGGTTTGGGGGATGTGATGCTTAACCTAATTTTTTTTTTTTTTTAGAGAAATTAGTCTTTATGCTTCTAGAGATCAAATGTATAGCTCTCTGAATTTTATCAAAAGATAAGTTGATTGTAATTTCAGCGTCAAAAGAGGTATCATTTTATCAGAGAAATTAATGGATCTCTTATTGATAGCCTACATATGAGAAAAGGACCACGTTTCAGTGCCTAAGCCATTGTCACTCTAGTAAGTTTTTTCCTTGAGTGGATTTGATTAAGAAAAATGTCTTATGCATACTTCCTTTTCTTTTGTAAGTCTTCTGTAATCCCTCTTTTGCACACAGAAATTGGGTAAAAGTTTACTTTTGGGGGGCTGACCAAATAGCCTTCCAGCTACTTTCTTCAAAATACTCACCACTGTGTAGCCAGAATTAAATTTCTAAAATTGGACCATGCCACTCCCTTGCTCCCTTGCTTAATATCCCCCCCCCCCCCAGTAATCCTCAAGATAAAGTCCTGTTTGGCATGGCATACAAAGCTATCTTGTCAAGCTGCTGCTGCAACTGCTTTTTTTTTTTTTTTTGGGTCAAGCTTTATAGCCTCTTTTTTCACATACATACATTCATATTCCAGTCACAGTGAACAGCTTGCAGATGATGCTCTAAGGATTAGGCCTTTGCACCTAATTTGTATATGCTGTTCTGTCTGCTGGAATCAATCATCTCCTACCCCTCATCCTTATCAGTATAACCCTTACATGCCCTCTAGTCTCTTTCATGAGCCTTTCTGCTGTGTCTCAAGATCCTGTTAGGTGCCTCCTTTGTGCTCCTGTGATATCTTGGTGCTATTTACCAATAACATCTGTAGCCCTTACCAGACTATGTTAATATTGTTTATTTCCTTGTCTTTCTCACTTCCTAGACTGTAAGCTCTTTGAGAGCAGGACCTCTGTATTCACTCTGGTATACCCAGAGCCTTGTAACAGTTCCTGGCTCAGAGGAGGTTTTCAATAAATACCTGTTTTATAAAACACCAAATAAATAACTATGGCACTAAATTTTTATGCTTGAAACATTAGTAATACAGAAAAATAGTAGCATTTAAGGTTTATTTTAAAAGTTTTGGGGAAGAAAGGGTTTACGAGTCACTCTTATTTATTAAGGTGTTATATGCAAAGCACAATGCTATCTTAGAAAACATAAAGGAAATATAGCCCTTGTCTTTAGTGAAGTTACTAAAAAACTAACTTAAAATGCAAGATGACAAGGTAAAGGCTATCCTCTGGTTAATTACAAAAAAAAAAAAGCAAGTGACATAAAGAACAGTATAATTTAGGAAGGTGTCACATAGGTCAGCCATGAAACAGTACTTTCTTCCTTAGTCCATTACTCTTTTTTTTAAGATTTTATTTATTTGACAGAGAAAGAGACAGCAAGAGAGGGAACACAAGCAGGGGGAGTGGGAGAGGGAGAAGCAGACTCCCCACCTAGCAGGGAGCCCGATGTGGGACTCGATCCCAGAACCCTGGGACCATGACCTGAGTCGAAGGCAGGCGCTTAACTGACTGAGCCACCCAGGCACCCCATTTCTCCATTACTCTTAATCTGCTATTCATTACTCTCATTCACATGAGGAAACAGAGGTCAAGTAATTTGTTAAGTATTACAGGGCTTTTAGAGCTTGGGTTAGACAAGTCTGGCCTTTTCACTCTAGAGTGGTATGATCATGAAATGAGGGGTACACCAGTTTAGTTGGAGTTGATTCCCTATCCAGAGCAAGAGATAAAACTGGAAAGAAACAGGCTAAGTATTTGAAAGCATTGAATTTCAGGTTGTAAAATTAGGAGTTTATCGTGATAGCAATGGAGGGCCAATATAATTTTGGAAAGAGTGACATGAACATTAGGATTTTTCTGGGTTTTTACTTCTTTTAACCAATATCAGAATGGCATCAGAAGTGGCCTTCTACCTTTTAGAAACCTTATTTTCTCAACCTGAAACTTAAAGTAAAATAATTTAAAGTGGGATGAAGTTAGAAGATATGCAGGGTTAACAGTATTAAGCAGAATTTATCTTTGGGACCAAATATCCCACACATAATTCATTAAGAATGGGGTATATTCATTAACTGACCATTCATTAGCATCTCAAGTGAAAATAGCATATTGTTCCTTTTCAGCTGAATTAGCTTAGCAAAGCCTTAGAGTTACACACACACACACACACACACACACTGGTCTTTATTTGGATAGCAAAATTAGTAACACTTTTTTCTAATGCTTTGTTTTTATACTTTAAAGTATGTTTTACTTAAAATTTTTTTATTATGGAAATTTTCAAACACAGGAAAGTAGAATATAATATAATAAGCCCCCATGTAGCCATCACTTGGGCTCAACAATGATCAACATTCTGGTTTTAAATGCCAGATTTCTAGTGCTCAGCTTTATCTTCTGCCTTTTCTGAGTCTCAACCTAATGAAACTAATGACATGTCTGAGCTTTGAAGAAATGGGATATACCTTTTTTTATAACTACTGAGATGTTCCTACTAATTAGGAAAATCAGACCTGTGCTGGAGTTGGATCTGAAAGTTTTCCTCATTTGATATCTGTTAACACCCAGTTCCACTGCTTTCTGTGGAATTTCAGTGTTTAAGTCAAATTGGCCGGCGGTAGTGAGGTAGAAACGTTGTGTGGTTGTTATGGTGATTGTGGCCTTACTATCTAGGGAAGCATTTTGCTAAAATTAAAATCCAAATAAGTATATTAAGTGCATGGCACTTAGCAATCAAATTATTATATATGACCCACTGAAAATTGTGCAAGATTTTTTTTCCCTAGAAACAATACTTTGCTTTTGGAATAACAATTAAAATTCTTTTTTTCCCAGTTTATCTTCCCTCTCTAGGATCGTCTTTGTTTTTGTTTGTTGTTGAGTATTATATTCCCAAGATAGTAAAATTGATCAATTTTTCCCTTTACAGCTTCTTGGTTTTATATCCTATTATGAAAAGTCTTCTCCAACTCCAAGATTATAAAATTGTACATCCATAAATTTCTTCAAGTACTCTATAGTTTTATATTTTAATTTTAATATAGTAAAAAATTAGAGCAAGAAATATAGTAAGGATCCAACATTACCTTTTCCAAAAACCATTTATTGGATAACTCATATTTTCTCCTGCTGATGTTGGATACTGCCTTAATCATAAGCTAATTTCCCATATGTGCTTAAACTCTGTTTTATGCTAAGGTTTCCTATACTTGAGTGGCAAATTCCTCTCTAGTCTCCACTTAGGTTTCTTCTCCTGTTGGTAACCCCACTGTCATCCTTTCTCTGCTGGTCCCATACAGTGTACTAGCAAGGACTATAAAGACTAGCCAGAATGTCAGATACTTTGAATGCCTAAGAGAGAACCTTAGAGATTTTACTGTAATAGTAGTTTCCAAACTTTTCATATATAAAGCTTTTATTAAGTTAATTGTAATATTTTATTTCCAGTAGAGCTATCTGGCAAATGGTTTGTTTTTCTGGTTCAAAATTGCCTAAAATCCGTTGAAAAATAGAAGTGTGTAGTTTGGAGCTAAAATGCGTGGGTTTGGGGGCACCTAGGTGGCTCAGTCGGTTGGGTGTCTGCCTTTGGCTGGGGTCATGATCCCAGGGTCCTGGGATTGAGCCCCGCATCCGGCTCCCTGCTCAGCGGGGAGCCTGCTTCTCCCACTTCCTCTGCCGCTCCCCCAGCTTGTGCTCTCTCACTGTCACTCTCTCTCAACTAAATAAATAAATAAAATCTTTAAAAAAATAAAATGCCTGGGTTTGAATTTCTGCTCAGCCATTTGTTAGCATTGTGCCCTTGGACAATTTATTAAAAATTGTTTCCATCTCATAGATGATTGTGAGAATTAAATAGATAAATACTTGTAAAGTGTCTAGAATAATTGCTTGCCACATATTGAGCATTCAGGAAATGTTAGTGGTTGCTATTATATCACATCACAGGATATGAAAAAGATTAGATGCTTCAATGTTGATTTATTTTTTGTTTATTTTAAAGGGGACAATTCATCTCTTTAGAAAACCGCAAAGATCTTTTTTTGGCAAGTTATTACAGGAATTTAGACTTGTAGCAGCTGACCGAAGGGTAAGTTATCTTTATTAACTCTAATTTTAATCATTGTACAGACAACATTATGACACTGAAAAAGATAATTTTTAAGGCATATAGAAATTACTCGTGATCCCACCATACACTTTTTGTTTTTAAGTAAACTCTCGCCCAACATGGGGCTTGAATTCACGGTCCCGAGGTTAATAGTCACATGCTGTACCAACTGAGCCAGCCAGGTGCTCCACACCATACTGTTTTCATTTTTTTATGTTGGATAAGCAGGGGTTTTTTTGTTTTTTTTTTAAGTAATCTATGCCCAACATGGGGCTCAAACTCATTACGCCAACATCAAGTCACATGCTCTGCTGACAGTGAGCCAGGCACCCACCCCTGGCTAAGCAGAATTTCAATATAAAATTAAATTACTTTGTAATTTAATGTAAATTGTAATGTAAAAATCAGTTACTTTGGTACACAGTTGTTTTGCTTGGGAGGAAGCTAGGCTTTGGTTAAGGTTTTTATTCTAACGAGTTTTAAAGAAAAATTATTTTATGATTGCCTTTTGTTACTTTTTTTTACAAATTTAATGGATGCAGTTTAAAGCCATGTTTTCTCATTTTTAGTGTGAGGAAGGAAAAATAAGTTATGCTTTAAGGTCGTGAATTCAAGCTCCACCCATGTTGGGCGCAGAGCTTATATTTAAAAAAAAAGATAATTGGTACCTTTTTTGGTCACCAATATAGACCTAGTTATTGTTCTGTTTTCATTGTTCTCATTATTGTCTAAATTATACTCTAAGCTCCCTGAAGACAGTGACTATGTCTGTTTTGTTCACTTTTTAATAGAAGTACAAAATAAGCACCCAATAAATATGTGATGAATTTTAAATAAACCTAGCTTCAGTGGAACATAAGTGTACCTATGATATTGGCCATGTATTATGATACTAGACTAGAGGCTTCTGTTCTTTGTTTCTTATCACTGTATCTCCTGTTGCTAAAACCTTGGAATATAGTAAGAACTCAGTATTTGAAAATAGTATCATGTCCTGGATGTTAAAGAGCCAAGGGTAGGAAATTCATCTGCTACTTGTGTATCTAGTCCATTTAAGATGATCTCTTGCGTACAGATAGATAGAACTTTATAATGTTGGTAGAAAGCAACTACATTACAGACGTAAACAGGAAATTCTTGAACCATATGCTTTGTTGAAGCACAGTATACCGCAGAATAGGTAATAGGAACAAGACCAGTATAAGAACACCTGAGTTGTGCAGATACTCTCCATCATAATTTAAATCTTAAAAGATGTGCCTAGCTTCACCTCTCTTTACTACTACTCCTGTTTTGGTTCTTGGTAATTTCTTAGATCATGAGGAAGATCCCTACTTCTCAGTTCCTTACTTCCTTACCCCAAATAATCTTGTCCTGCATCCCTTCCAGCTATCTACTCCAGTGATCATACCACAGACATTATCATTTATAATAACTATATTTTCCCATTGTCTCAGTTTCACGCATTTCACTCATAGTCACCATCTCTTGTTATTCCAGTTCATTCCTTGTATTATCCCAATTCCAATAATTCTTCAATCTTACTAGGATCTCCAATCCATTGACATGCCATATTTTCACTATTTTTCTTCTCCCTTATCCTCATTTGCTTACTTATCCAATTTAGATTCTTTGGTCCATCATTACTGACTTCTCGCATATGTTTTCAGCTCCTCTGTGCCCTCCCTTCATCTGTCACTCTTCCTCTCATACTTCCCTGGCAAATCCTTAACATCATTAAGTCTACATTCCTGCTATTCTGTACCTGCACTCAAGCAACTGAATGTAGCCTGAGAGAAACACAAAACCATGGTGACTGGTCTCACTTTAAATTCAAGATCAAGTGTGCCATTAGTGCTGCCCATACTATATCTTTAGTTCATTCAGTTTTCCATTTTTCTAGATAGCTGTTTCGTGCCATAGTCTCTCACTTCTATCCTCAAACTTCCAAAACCTTCTTCATCCTCTCTCTGACCTGTTGATCTTGCTTCCTGTTTCACTGAAGGAAAAGAAGTAATCAGAAAACACTTCCACATCCTGTCATCTCCCAACATTCTGCCTTTCCTCCTGTTTCTATGAATGAACTCTCTGAACTTCTACTTGTTGCCTACTCAAAGACAAACTTCCTACAGTTGTTCCTTCCTGCATCATGAGCACATGCCACATCTTCCACTTTCAGCTACTGCCTCATTTCTCTGCTTCCTCATATAGCAAAACTACTTAAACTAATTGTCTTTACTCTCTGTTCACTTTCTTTTCTCCCTGTCTCCATTAAACACATACCAGTCTGGCTGTAGCCCCCACCAGTCCACTGGAGCAGCTTTAACAAAGTAACTGGTAAGCTCTGTGTTGCCAAAATCAATGGTCATCCTCATTTCCCATCTTACTTAACCTTCAAAAGCATTTGACAATGCTTAAAGCACTTTTTTCATTTGGACTCTGAAATATCACTCTTGGTTTTCCTCCTACTTACCTGGCCATTGTTCATCACTTTCCTCTCATCTTTCAGATCTCTAAGTTTCGGAGTGTCCCAGCACTTAGAGCTCCAGCCTCTGTTGTTTATGTTCATTACATCTAGGTGACACTTTAAGTACCTTATGTTGATGACCCAATATTTATATCTCAATCCATAACTTCTCCCCTACTTCTAGATTCCTATATATCATGGCCCTCTCAATATTTCCACTTGGATATCTAATAGGCATCTCAAATTTCATATGGTCAAACCTGAACTTTGATTTTCTGTCCCTTCCTCACTAAATGGCCACTCTGTTCTTCCAGTGCACAGGCCAGAAACCTTGGAGTCATTCTTCTCCCTCTCTTTCTCTCATTCCTCATCCATTTTGTAAGTAAATCTTGCTGCTCTATCTTCAGTGTAACACTCAGAATCTGACTCTTCTAACACTTTCTTACCAACTTCAAAGTCATCATTTCTCACTTGGATTACTGCAGTCACATTCTAAACGGTCTTCCTACTTCTATCCTTGCCCCTATGCAGTATATTCTTTTTTATTTTTATTTTTATTTTTATTTTTTTTAAAGATTTTATTTATTTATTTGACAGAGAGATACACAGTGAGAGAGGGAACACAAGCAGGGGGAGTGGGAGAGGGAGAAGCAGGCTCCCCGCGGAGCAGGGAGTCCGATGCGGGGCTCAATCCCAGGACCCTGGGACCATGACCTGAGCCAAAGGCAGACACTTAACGACTGAGCCACCCAGGCACCCCAACTATGCAGTATATTCTACATAGAGAAGCCAGAATGATCTTTTAATCTTTTTTTTTTAAGATTTTATTTATTTATTTGACAGAGAGATAGAGACAGCGAGAGGGAACATAAACAGGGGGAGTGGGAGAGGGAGAAGTAGGCTCCCCGCTGAGCAGGGAGCCAGATGCGGGACTTGAACCCAGGGTTCTGGGATCATGACCTGAGCCGAAGGGAGATGCTTAATGACTGAGCCACCCAGGCGCCCTGCCAGAATGATTTTTTAAAAATGAAAGTTAAGGGCGCCTGGGTGGCTCAGATGGTTGAGCGTCTGCCTTCGGCTCAGGTCATGATCCCAGCGTCCTGGGATCGAGTCCTGCATCGGGCTCCCTGCTCCTTGGGAGCCTGCTTCTCCCTCTGCCTCTCTCTCTGTCTCTCATGAATAAATAAATAAAATCTTTAAAAAAAAATAAAAAAAATAAAAATGAAAGTTAAGCCGCTTTCCATCTCATTTGGAATAAATCCCAATTCTTTTGCTGGCATACAAGACACTACTTGATGGAGCCCCAGACTTCCTCTCACCTCTCATCTGTCCGTCCTTGGCCAGGTCCTCTTCTATCTCAGGGCATTTGCACTGTGGTTCCCATTTTTTTCCCCAGATATCGGCATGCTTAGCACCTTTGCCTCTGTAAGATTTCTGGTCACATGTTACCTTACCAAGGGGGTCTTTTTGACCACCTTGTCTGGCAGAACACCCTTTCCACATTTCCCATTACCGTACTTTATTTTTCCTTTGTAGCACTTACCACCACCTGACCTTGTGTATTTGCTAATTGTCTGTCACCCCCGCTGGAATATAAGGTCCATATTTTGTTCACTGCTGTATCTCTAGTGCCTAGAAAAGTGTCTGTTACAAAATAGGTACTCAAAGGGGCGCCTGGGTGGCTCAGTTGGTTAAGCGACTGCCTTCAGCTCAGGTCATGATCCCAGGGTCCTGGGATCGAGTCCTGCATCGGGCTCCCTGCTCTGCGGGGAGCCTGCTTCCCCCTCTCCCACTCCCCCTGCTTGTGTTCCCTCTCTCACTGTGTCTCTCTCTGTCAAATAAATAAATAAAATCTTTAAAAAACAAAAAAAAACAAAATAGGTACTCAGGTATTTGTTGATGAATAGCTTGATTCGTCAGTAGAGCTGCAGAGAATGTCATTTTCAGATTACATGCCTTATCCTCCTTTTCTGACTGTTCTTGAATCCCTGTCCTGACTAGAGCCCATGTCCAGTCGTTTCATTAATATCCTCACTGTAAGAGTCCCTTGTCCCATTAACCTATCATATCAGCTCTCAGTCTCTGACATCCCTACCTCACCTGCTTCTCTGGTTTTGCTCCTGGGGGTAGAGGAAGTGGCAGAATGCTGTCTACCCTAAATTCATGATGGTCATTCTTGTTCTCCTCTGATGATTCAGAAGTATACTCACTAGAACTGCTGTTGTGCAAATTCTCCTCTGGATGTAAGTTCCAGTCCTATTCTACTACATCCCTTTATTTTAGAAAATGGCCTTGTTTCTTCTTTTCTAGAGATGTAGAGGTTGTTAGCTTTGTGCTGCTTCACTGTCACTTCTCTCTAGTTCACAGTTTTTCTGTCCCTTCAGTCATCTCTTGCCCTTCTCACCTTTCTCAGAGAAGGTGTTCTTCATCCTAAACCTACACTTTGCATCTGTGTTCTAAAGCCATCCTATCCCACACTTGACCTTTGCAATTATATCTGTTTGTTTAACACCTCCAGATAACTCCCTTTTCACTAATTTCTTTCACTTCTACTTTCACACAATTATAGGTCTCCCTTCCTTGTAGGGAGTGGAGTGGAACAAAAATTAAAAAGCACTTCACTTGACCTCTTCTTTTATTCTTAGAAAGCACTTTCTGCTTCTTCTGATGAAATCCTAGCTACTTTCAAGGCATATCTCAGGTCTGTGAACTTCTAACCCATGGTAATCTTTCCTTCTCTTGCAGTCCTATTTCATATGACTTATTTGGTAAATAAGTGAGTGTAGACCTTTTTGGGGGGAGGGGAAGAATAACTTTATTTTGATATAATTTCAAACTTACGGAAAAGTCACAAGATTAGTGTAAGGAACTCCCCTAAGCCCTTTACTCACATTCACCAGTTGCTTTATATTTTGCCCCATATGCTATCGTTGTGTCTGTGTACATATTTATAGAGACAAAATGATATTAAAGTATATGCCTATTTTTCTCAACTGTTTGAGAGTTTATATGGCAGAATTTTTTTTTCTCTTGGAGAATGCCTCCTCTAGAACTGTTTTTTAGACTAATAAATAATAACTTGGTTGATGGTAATTTTCGTAGATGTAGGAAATGTGACACTGACTTTTTGAAGGAAGTTGTGCTTATTCCTTTGTAGAGTGGGAATTGCAGCAACTTGAACAGACCCAGTGAAGTTGATCAGCATTATCCAAATAAGAATGATTTTCTTTTTCACAGTCCTGGAAGATACTGCTCTTTGGTGCAATAAACTTAACATGTACTGGCTTCCTGCTTATGTGGTGCAGTTCCACTAACAGTATAGGTATGTCACCGTCCCTGTTTTTGTGGAGTTAATCATTAGTTGCACATTTATTGTTCTGGTTTTAAATAAAGATGTATCTTTCTTTATGTGGAATATATTATTCTGAAATATAACTCAAGATTTAAATAAGAGAAGCTATGTGAAAAGTGCCTTGTTGGGGCACCTGGGTGGCTCAGTCGTTAAGCGTCTGCCTTTGGCTCAGGTCGTGATCTCAGGGTCCTGGGATCAAGTCCTGCATCGGGCTCCCTGCTCCGCGGGCTTCTCCCTCTCCCACTCCCCCTGCTTGTGTTTCCTCTCTCGCTGTGTCTCTCTCTGTCAAATAAATTAATAAAATCTTTAAAAAAAAAAAAAGAAAAGTGCCTTGTAAACTGTAAAGTTTGGTTCAGTTGCTAAGCATTATCATTTTAAATTTTTTTTAAAAATAGCTTTAAATCTGTTTGAAAGACTGTGATTCCTTTTTATGTAGTAGATTAGCCCTTCAGTTACGCAGTCTCTAAGTAAGATTTTGAGATTTATGTTTCTTGGATTTTCCTTGAAAAGGGAAATCTATAATATTTTTCTTGTTTCTTGACATCTTTTAAATTTTTTAATTTTTTAATTTTTTATGTTATTTTTTTATTTTAGTTTTTGGAGAGAGAGAGAGAGTGCAAGTGGGAGGGGCAGAAGGAGAGGGAGAGAGAGAATCCCAAGTAGGCTCCATACTCAGTGCAGACCCTGACGTGGGGCTCCATCCTGACCGTGAGATCATGACCTGAGTGGAAATCAAGAGCCGGACACCCAACCGAGTCTTCCAGGTGCCCCGTTTCTTGACCTCTTACGTTTTTATGTATCATTCTTTTCATCCTGCTATTTAAAGACTATATTTAAAATAGTACTCAGATGACAGAAGAAAGCAGAAAAAAACGCCAAAATGATCGTAGCACTTTTGGGTATATGCTGCTTCCTTTGTCCTGATGGCAAAATCAGACTCTAGAGTAAGCTTTTGTACTTACCAACTTTTTTTTTTTTTTTTTTTTTTTAATTAAGTAAGCTCCAATGCTGGGCTTGAACTCACAACCCTGAGATCGAGAGTCCCATGCTCTACCAATTGAGCCAGTCAGACACCTCTGTATTTATCACGTTTGGCTACATATATTAATCTAGATAATTGCCAACATGTAAGGTTAATTAGTGACTCAAGGTTTTTTTGGTAATGGATACTTCTGGTATGAACAATCTTGGTGATTAGCTACATTTCCAAACAGTGGATTCAGCAACATTTTAATCAGTTGTTTTGTTGTTTTGCAGCTTTAACTGCCTATACTTACTTGACCATTTTTGATCTTTTTAGGTAAGTTTTTTGTTTTTTGTTTTTTGTTTTATTTTATTATGTTATGTTAATCACCATACATCATTAGTTTTTTAGGTAAGTTTTAAAAAGTCTCTTTAGTGTTTTGAAACTAATAAGGAATTTCTTGCACTGAATTTGTTTTCTCTGCTTAAAGGAAAGTAATCTGTGAAATAAGTAAAATTATCAACACAGAACATATATACAAACAATAACTATTAGGAGATATACTGGAAGAAAATATCCCATTTATAGAGGAACAGAAAAAATAATACCCAGGCATTAGATCATATGCCTGGGGTACCTACCTGTAGTTGAGTTAGCTGTGGCCAGGGAGCGGTGTCTCATAAGAACGTACCAGTTCCTTCCGTAACCGTGTAGATGGGCATTAGTAACTAAGAAGTGAGCAATTGTGAGCTAGGGAAGCACCCTTTTGGCTCCCTGCTTCATGGGACCTTTGATATCGCCGTGTAAGGACTGCAGAATAATTGATGTCTTCAAGATCCATGCCATAGGAGTATAAGTATGTCTTTTCATCAGGCATGTAACTAAATCTACTTGACTCATCTAAAACATAGAGTTACCACCTGGATTTCACGCAGTAGTAAGTTGTTTTAGAGTGAATCTCCACTGTACTTGGAAAATGAATGTAATTTTATCCCATCCAGAGTGTCGTTGCTATTAATATTTCGTTTAACTTTTAACAAAGATTAAAGTTTATCAGAGTTAAAATTTATTCTCTGTGGCTAAAATAAAATATATTACTTTATTATTACTATGTTATTTTTGCATGCTCACTTATGGAAACTATTTAGGGTGGATAACTTACTTGAGTAGAGAAAGTATGGGTGTGTAGGTTCAATTTACTGACTTGATGTATTGTGACTTTTTTCAGTTTCTCCACATGTTAAAACTCACATATTAGGATGCTCCTGATGATTAGATTATAGCTTATTAGAATAGTTTATTAATTTAGTCTGCAAACACATAACTTTCAGCAAACTTAGGAATTCTGAAAACTTAATTTCTTTTTGTGTGTTCCCCTCTTGCTCTAGTTCTAAAGCTAAATTTATTTTCCTTTTTACTTAGTTTAATGACATGTTTGATAAGTTACTGGGTAATGATGAGGAAACCTAGCCCTGTCTATTCATTTGGGTAAGTTCAAGTTATTTTATTTTCTGCTAACTTACTGCTATTAAAATGGTAGTTGTGGGGCGCCTGGGTGGCTCAGTCGTTAAGCGACTGCCTTCGGCTCATGTCGTGATCCCAGAGTCCTGGGATCGAGCCCCGCATCGGGCTCCCTGCTCGGCGGGAAACCTGCTTCTCCCTCTCCCACTCCCCCTGCTTGTGTTCCCTCTCTCACTGTGTCTCTCTCTGTCAAATAAATAAATAAAATCTTAAAAAAAAAAAAAAAAAACCATGCCCTTTAAAAAAAAAAAAATGGTAGTTGTTATCAGGCAGTAAAGAGGTAGCTAGAGTGTTTGTAGAGAATAAATGCTATCTGTGTAGTGGGATGGGGATCAAATATTGAAAGTAGATTTAAAAAGACATCTTCCAACAGGATTCTAGATAAGGAACATGTAAATCATATTAAAATAAAATGTTCATATTAAGTTCTTTGATATTTTGGTAATCCCTTAAATTTTAGTTAGAGAAAGTACAAAGGGTTTTCCTATAGGTGTGTCCTATAAATGTTAGAGTAAATGTGATATATTTTAACATTAATGTAGTGGTAGAGATGTATTTTTATCATAAGACTGGATTTGTGATAGCAATGGACTATCAAAGAATTTGAGATTCTGTTTCTATAGTTTTAGAAATTATTAAAAGTTGGGCGCCTGGGTGGCTCAGTTGGTTAAGCGACTGCCTTCGGCTCAGGTCATGATCCTGGAGTCCTGGGATCGAGTCCCGCATCAGGCTCCCTGCTCAGCAGGGAGTCTGCTTCTCCTTCTGACCCTCCCCCCTCTCATGCTCTCTGTCTATCTCATTCTCTCTCTCAAATAAATAAATAAAATCTTTAAAAAAAAAAAAAAAGAAATTATTAAAAGTTGAAAGTTGAAAGATAATCTTTTGTATTAGAGGTTTTTCTTAATGTATTAGAAAAAAATGAGTTCCTTTCGGATTCCAGGAAACAACTTGAAAGAAGAATTTCTTTTTAAGTTTGTGGGGGTTTTTACTATGATAAAGTGTACGTAACATAAAAGTTAACATTTTAACCATTTTCAAGTGTACAATTCAGTGGCATTAAGTACCTTTATATCTGTTGCCACTATCTATTTCCAGAAATATTTCCTCTTCCCAAAAAGAAACTCTGTACCCATTAAACAATAACTCCTTATTCCCCTATCTCTCAGCCCTTGGCAAGCGCCATTCTACTTTCTGTGTTTATGAATTTGCCTGTTCTGGGTACTCATATAAATGGAATCACACAATATTTATCGTTTTGAGTATGGCTTATTTTACTAATGTTTGCAGATTTCATCTGTGTTTGTAGCATATGTCAGAATTTCATTACTTCCTAAAGTTGAATAATTTTCTATTGCATGTATATATGACATTTTGTTTATTCTTCTGTTGATGGGCATTTGGTTTGTATCCACCTTTGGGCTATTGTGAGTAATGCTTTTATAAACATTGGTGTACAAGTATCTGTTTGAATCCCTGCTTTCAGCTCTTTTGGGTGTATACTGATCCCTGGATCATATTCTGTGATTCCATGTTTAACTTTTTGAGGAACCACCATACACAGTGGCAGCGCCATTTTCCATTCCCACCAGCATGCTCACCAACACTTGTCATTTTTCTTTTTTTAATTTTTAAAAATCCCAATATAGTTAACATATAGTGTTATATTAGTTTCAGGTGTGCAATGTAGTGACTCATAATTCTATACATTACTAAGTGCTCATCACAATAAGTGTACTCTTAATCCCCTTCACCTATTTCACCCATCCCCCCTACCCCACCTCCCCTCTGGTAACTACCAGTTTTTTCTCTGTAGTTAAGAGTCTGTTTTTTGGTTTGTCTCTTTTTTTTTCTTTGTTTTGTTTCTTAAATTCCACATATGAGTGAGATCACAGGATACTTGTCTTTCTCTGACTGACTTACTTCATTTAGCATTACAGCCTCTAGATCCATCTATGTTGTTGCAAATGGCAAGATTTAATTCTTTTTTATGGCTGAGTAATATTACACACACACACACACACACACACATTGTCTTTATCCATTCATCTGTTGATGGGCATTTGGGCTGCTTCCATATTTTGACTATTATAAATAATGCTGCAGTAGTCATAAGGGATGCATGTATCTTTTCAAATTAGTGTTTTTGTATTCTTTGAGTAAATACCCAGTAATGGGATTACTAGATCATATGGTAATTCTATTTTTAATTTTTTGAGGAACCTCCATACTGTTTTCCAGAGTGGCTGCACCAGTTTGCATTCCCACCAACAGTGAGAGGGTTCCTTTTTCTCCACATCCTCACCAATACTGGTTGTTTCTTGTATTTTTTATTTTAGCCATTCTGACAGGTGTTAGGTGATATCTTGTTGTGGTTTTGATTTGCATTGCCCTGATGATAAATGATGTTGAGCATCTTTTCATGTGTCTGTTGCCATCTGTATGTCTTCTTTGGAGAAATGTCTGTTCATGTCTTCTGCCCATTTTTAATTGGATTTTTTTTTTGGTGTTGAGTTGTATAAGTTCTTTGTATATTTTGGATACTAACCCCTTGTCAGGTATATCATTTGCAAGTATCTTCTCCCATTTAAAGAAGAATTTAACTTTGTAAAATAAACTTTTGGACCAAACTTAATCTTTTGAACAAAATCAGGTTTTTACTTGCTTAAACAAGGGGGCAAAGTAAACATGGAATCTTAATGCAAAGTGAAAATATTCATAAGTGTCACTGAGATTTGATAGACTATTACTATGATAATCGGTTATAAGGTACATATAAATACCAGTATATAGAAATCTGTGACTCTGAGTTAAAGCTTTTGGTTTTAAGTGACAAAAATCCAACTCAAGCTAGTATGGGGGAAAATGGGAACTTTTAAAATTAATGTAATCAAAATGTGGGAAGACTGAGGTAACTGGCATAGGGACTAGCAAACTCAGGACATTGTCTTTCTCTTATCTCTCAGGCCTGCTTTTCTCTGCATGTCCGGTTTAGTTTCTCAGACCACTTTTCCCCACCATCCTGGAATAACCCCTAGCAAGACCTTAACTGGAACCTTCTTACCTTCATCTTAGAGAAGGAAAGGCTTTTCCCCAACTCCAGTTAAGAAAATCATGAGAAAGAGGGGCGCCTGGGTGGCTCAGTCGGTTTAGCGTCTGCCTTTGGCTTGGGTCATGATCCTGGGGTCCTGGGATCCAGCCCCACATAGGGCTCCCTGCTGCAGGGAGCCTGCTTCTCCCTCTGCTGCTACCCCTGCTTGTGTGCTCACACTCTCTCCCAAATAAATAAATAAAATCTTAAAAAAAAAAAAAATCGTGAGAGAGAACTACTGATTGGTCTAGCTTGGGACAGGTATTAGTCTTTAGATCAAATACTGTGGCCAGGAGACAAGGTTAAACAAGGACTTGATAACTTCCATTTTGGCCAACTTAGAGTGAACAAGAAAGGAGGGAGCAATTAAACAATAAAATTAACATCTGAATATAATTTCAATCAGTCACATAGCTTGAAATATCTGTATTTACAGACTCCAGTTCTTTAGCCCTGAGATCTGTCTTGTTTCAGACTGCCTTCTGTACAGCGTCACATGGATATCTAATTGGTGTCTTAAATATTGGCTAGAATTCTTGTTTTCTTTCCCCAAAACCTATTCCTCTGCAGTTTTTCCCATCTCATTCCCCACATTTATCCATCAGCAGGTTACATCAGGGTAACCTACAAACACATCCAGAAATCTGCCCCTACCCCCATTTCTATCTTGACTACTAACATCCTAATCAAGCTACCTTCATTTTTTGCCTTAATCCAGCCTCCTAACTTGTCCCCATGCCTCTGCTCCTACCCCCTTATAGACCATTCTCCGGATAGCAGCCAGAGTGTTTTCCTTTTTAAATCCAAGTCATACTATCAGTCTCCTCCTTGAAACCACTCAGTTGTTTGCTATCATACTTAGAATAAAATCCTGAGTCCTTTCTCTAATTTACAAAATTCTTATATTAGCTGTTCTGTGCCTACTTGTCTTCAAGTTACCACTTTCATGCCCTCTATACCACACTTTCTTTCTGTAATTTGTATACAATTAATTTATTCCTGCCTTAGGTCCTTTGTACAAGCTGTTGTCTCTGTTTGAAATGTTCTTCACGTCATCTTTACAAGATACAGCACTCCATCTTGTTATTCCAATCCTAATATCACTAAATGCCGATGTCATCAAGTGACTGGGCCCAATCTAAAATAGATTCTAAAATGAATCCTAATTAGCCTCTTGTCACATCAGATTACTATAATTCTCTGTATAGAACTTACCAGAACTTATAAATCGTTACTCTGTCTCCCCCTTTAAAATATAAATTCCATGGCAGCAGGGACTATAATCTTGTTCTATCTTATATCCTTGTACAGTGTGGTGAATTTTAATAAATGAATATACCTGTATAACTACTATCTGGATCATGATATAAAACACTACAAGTCCCCCCAAAAAGCCTCCCTTTGTTTTGAGTCAGAGTCAAAACCCAACAAAAGTAATCAGTGTTCTGACCACTATTCCTTGCAGATTATTGTTGCCTGTTTTTGAAGGCACATAAATGGGATTCCAGTATATATGCTCCTATAGCAGTAGTTCACTCATATTGTATTTTATAAATATACCATAATTTCTTTTTATGTTCAACTATTGAAGGGCATTTAGATGATTTTCAGCTTTTAGCTCTTATAAATAAAACTAGTTCCAAATATTCTTGTACACATGTCTTTTGGTGTACATGTGTATCCCTTTATGTAGGATACATATTTTTGAGTGAAGTTACTCAGTCATAGGATTTGCATATGTTCATTGTTAGAAGATAAGATAATACCAGTTTTCTAGAGTGATTTTACCAGTTTACTCTCCCACTGTCAATGTATGAGAGTTCTGATTGTTTCATGCTTGTACCAACAGTTGATACTGCCTTTTTTTTTTAAGCCCTTCTGGGGTATGTAGTTGTCTTGTGGTTTTAAATTATTTTCCTGATGACTAGTTGAACACTTTTTCATACTTTTATTTACTTTTTCATATGTTTCTTAATCGTTCAGATTATCTCTTTTGTGAAATACTTGTTAAAGTGTTTTACCCATTTTTAAATTGGGTTACCTTTTTTCTTTTGTTATTGCTCTGTAAGAGTTCTTTATATATAAATATCTTTTCCCACAAATGAAAGTTTTTAATTTGAATGATAAATTCAGTTTATCAGTCTTTTATGGTTAGTCCTTTTTGTGTACTTGTCAGGAAATCTTGGCCACTCCTAGGTCATAAAGATATCCTGGTATTAGCTAGAGGTCTTGTTGTTTGATTTTTCACATTTAAGACCTACAGTCAAACTGGAATTCATTTTTGTGTATGGGTTGAGGTAGAGGTCAAAGCACATTTGTTTCTCTCTAGTTGTTCAATTGATAAAACATATATTGGAAAAAAATTAATCCTTTTTCTACTGCTTTTTATGTCTCTACCTTTTTCGTAAATTAGGTGATTATGAACGTGTAATTCTATTTCTGGATTTTCTTTTCTATTCAGTCTGGTACATTTGTCTATTTTTGCATTAGTACTATGCTGTGTTAACTATTATAGTTTTTTTTTTTTAAGATTTTATTTATTTATTTGACAGAGAGAGATACAGCGAGAGAGGGAACACAAGCAGGGGGAGTGGGAGAGGGAGAAGCAGGCTCTCCGCCGAGCAGGGAGCCCAATGCGGGGCTCAATCCCAGGACCCTGGGATCATGACCTGAGCCAAAGGCAGACGCTTAACGACTGAGCCACCCAGGCGCCCCTAACTATGATAGTTTTGAAATAAATCTTGACATCTGGCAGTGTAAATCTTCCAGCTTTGTTCTTCTTCAGATTATCTTTGCTTTCCTTCACTTTTTGCATTTCCATATGCACTTTAATATCAGTTTATCGATTTTCACAAATAACTTTGCTTCATTTACATACTGTTTTATACTCTTTTATAACTCACTCTTTTCATTTACATCTTTCCATGTCAATAAATACATTTCTGTTATATATTTTTTAAAGATTTATTTATTCATTTGAAAGAGAGAGAAAGAGCATGCATGCGAGTTGGGGAAGGGGCAGAGGGAGAGAATTTCCAAGCTGACTCTGCACTGAGCACAGAGCCCAATGCAGAGCTCAGCCTCACAACCCATGAGATCATGACCTGAGCCAAAACCAGGAGTTGAAGGCTTACGGACTGACTACACCACCCAGGCACCCCAATTTCTGTTATATTTTTAATAATATGTTCTGTTGTTGATTCCAACCTTTTTTTCCCTTTACAAACAGCAATGTGATGAGCATCCTTAATTATTTTATTATCTTTTCTGAAAATATGTAATTCCTTGAGAAATTTCAAGCATTTATACATACCACAAATATTGAATGCCATTAAATTATGTGTTGTGGGAAAAACTAAGATGAATAAGGCTACAGCCCCTGGCCTCCAGCTGACAGTTTAGGATTATAAGACATAAACATTATTAACTACAGTTATGTGTAGCAGTGAGAGACAGTATAATAAGTGGTTAAAATCATGAACTGTGGAGCTAGAGTGCCTAAGTTTGGAAACCTGACACCTCCACTTGCTAGCTATATGACTCTAAACAGTTACTTTTCCTTTTTGTGTGTCAAGTTCCTTATCTGTTCTTTTTTTTAAAAAGTGGATAAAGTAACCTTCCTGAGGTGTTGGGAAGTTTAGAATAGATAATATAGGGGCACCTGGGTGGCTAAGTTGGTTAAGCATCTGATTTAGGCTCAGGTCATGATCTCAGGGTCCTGGGATCAAGCCCTGCCTCAGGCTCCACGCTCTCTCCTACTACCCCTCCCTCCGCTCATGCTCTCTCTCTCTCTCTCAAATAAAATCTTTAAAAAAGATAATATGTTAAGCACTTAGACCAATGTCTAACACAAGATGGGTCAATCAAGTGTTAGCTGTTATTATGATAACGATTATTTCTAGAAAAATAAAAGCCATAAGTGGGTCCTGGAATAGATGTACAGATAGGCACTCTTTTTCTTGATCTGTGATGTTCTTTGTTTATCTTCATTCTAGAAAATCTGTAGTCTGTCTGAACAGTGTTTGGCTTATGGTAGGCACATACGAAAATTGAGTGAGTAAGTGGGGCACCTGGGTGGCTCAGTCGTTAAGCATCTGCCTTCGGCTCAGGTCATGATCCCAGGGTCCTGGGATCGAGCCCTGCATCAGGGTCCCTGCTCTGCAGGAGGCCTGCTTCTCCCTCTCCCACTCCCCCTGCTTGTGTTCCCTCTCTTGCTGTGTCTCTGTCAAATAAATAAATAAAATCTTTAAAAGAAAGAAAAAATTGAGTGAGTAAAAAAATGAATGAAAATGTGTTCTGGAGATACTGGTTTATGAATTGTGCTGATCTAATTTTCTGATTTCAGATTTGAAAGATTAGAAGTCTTAGCTGTATTTGCCTCCACAGTCTTGGCACAGTTGGGAGCCCTCTTTATATTAAAAGAAAGGTACGTTTGTCTACAATGTTCATGTCATTGTAAATTCCAGCTCTTCCACCTTCGGGGACATGAAAGAATCCATTGAGACACTGGATTGGTTTGAAGATGAAATCAAGATGAATGGTGCTGGAGTTTTGATAGTATGGCTTCCTCATGTTTCAGACTTTTCTCCCTTCTTTTATTACTTTATTTTGATGCTACTAAATCCTGGGCAGGTATGAAAGAAAGGGCTTCAGTCAGACATGTTTTAATGCTGAGTTACAAACCCACTGAAACAGGTTTTGTAGAGAAGATTGGTATTACATATTAAGGATAATTTGTAAGTCTCCTTGCCTGATCACTGCTAATAATCAACAGTTGGATATCATATTAAAAGATTTTGTTCAGGACTCCTGGCTTGCTCAGTCAGAAGAGCGTGCAACTCTTGATCTTGGGGTCTTGAGTTTGAGCCCCATGTTGGATATAGAAATTACTTAAATAAATTAATTAATTTAAAAAAATATTTTGTTCACTTATTGAATTAATTCTGTATTTAATAAGGCTTTTTAATTTCATAATTTGTAGAACTAATTTAGTACACTATTTCTTTCTTTTAGTGCAGAACGCTTTTTGGAGCAGCCTGAGATACACACGTGAGATTTTGCTTTTGACATAACATATAATTTACTATTATGTTTGATTCCCAGTTATTAAGTGGTATATTAGGAATAGTGGTTACTTTGGCCAATGTCAGAGTTCAGAGTGTGGCAATATACATTTCACTGATATTTCACAAACAAAATTCCCAAATCCCAAGACAACTTCTCACCCTTAATTATTCCCAAGCCCTTATGTTTTTATATTACATCAGAAGGCCTTTGTACTCTGGCTTTAGGTCCCTCATTATTTCCAGGCCTTGGTCAACACACTAAACTAGCCCCATTGATCTTCTATAATTTAAAATTTGATGCCCAAAATCTTTTAGTAGCACCTTTACAAAAGATAGAATTGTTATTATCTACTACATATAGTTGCCAAATATATGGACTTTACCTATTTTGATCAGTTTAATTCAGGATATTCTGACCTGTCTAGTATACTATAAACCAAACACTATTGCATTTATATGGATTTATAACAGCAGATACCTGTAAGAAGATACTGTTAATGCTAAGAGTCAGTTTTGGTCCTATGTAAGATGGAGCAGTAGACAGGCAATGGATTATGGAGCCTGAAAGCAAGTTCAGAGTGTGGCTCTGCAAATCCCAAACCACTGAAGCAGACCACTCTGCCTTCCCGTCTCTTTGTCTGCATGCTGAAATTGCATATTGGTATTACCAAGAAAAATATAATGGTGAATGTTATTATTCTTTCTAGGGGAAGATTATTAGTTGGTACTTTTGTGGCTCTTTCCTTCAACTTGTTCACGATGCTTTCTATTCGGAATAAACCTTTTGCTTATGTCTCTGAAGGTATGATTTTTATTTACCATTAATAAAAAATCCAGTTAATCTCTCATAAAAACAAGTCTTGTGTTTATTTCATTAACTCATAAATCAACAAAGAAGCTTATTCTGAAGAGAAGAGAGAACTCTCCTAGAGGTTCTCAGATCTTCTCTAATTAGAGAATTATAAAACAAAATCTAATTATTTCAAGCTTTAAAATAACATATTACTTAAAAACAGTCAGAACTGACTTACGTATTAAATTACATATGATGAAAAATTACATTTGCCAAATAACATGAATGGAATTTTAGATGTATAACCTACCTACAAAAAATCTATTGCAGGCATTTTAGAAGCATCATTATACTTCAAATAGTTCATGTGCTCTTTGCAAATAATTATATTCTGTTAGATAAGTTCCCAGGAACTTCTCTCTGTCAGTGGTGGATGGGCATATATTTGTAAAGTAGCATATATGTTTTGAAATACTCATTTATTTTCAAGCCTTTAAAAATTCAGACTGATACTTCACTTCAGTGGTGAAAATTATTGTCATTTGTCAGTCGTTTCCATGTTCTGGAATCCCACTAACTCACAAAGTGTTAATCATTAATTGTTGGAGAAGTGAGATAAAAACAAAAGTGGACTGTGTGCACAGACCCACACTTTGAAGCAAAGATAGCAGAGGGTCTTTTTAGGTCTCACTGACTTGAACACTAGGACAGTCAGGAGAAGAAAGCTCTCTGAATTGCCCATTCAAATTTAAACAACTTCATGAATATTATGAAGCATGAGTTGTATTTGTATGAATTAGAGTTTAAGAATTCCTGCATGAACTAGAAAATTAAATAGTGGTATTTGCAATGTCCAGAATTATTTTGAAAAAAATTATAAATTATTAAAATAATATAATGTTCACTCTAGAAATTTTAAGAAGGTATGTTTTAGAAATGATCAGGAAGATACAAGTTTTCCTTTTACAAATAATGCTACAATCTGCTTTTTTATATCAAGTGTTTTGTATGCATCCGAGTCTTCTTTAGGATAAATTCCCAGAGAAGAAATTGTAAATGGGTTGGAAATATAATATTTTTTAAGTCATTGATGTATATTGTGCCAGACTTATTTCCAGAAAGGTTATCTAGTTTGTATTTTCATTAGCTGGATATTAAAGTTCCCATAAGCATTAATATTTGTGACATTAGTTGAAATTTGAGTGGAAAATAATTCTGAGCACTTTCTGTCTGCCAGGCACTGTGCTAAATTCTTTATGTAGATTAACCCATTTAATTCTCCCTAAACCATATGAGGTAAATAATTTTATTATTCTTATTTTATGCCAAGGCACTGAGATATAAAATCACTTGCCCCAGGCGACACATCTAGCTAAGGTAGAGCTGGGTTTTAAGCCAGGTATTCTGGCATCAGAGTCTACTCTTAACTGCTCTACTATATGGCTTTTGTATAAAGCTTGCCAATCTTTTTTACATCATGTTACACATTAAAAAGTGATAATATTTCTGTAACCTTGAGATCAGTGTAAGAGGATGCTTGAGCCTGGAGACTACTGGTTCAGAGATAGTAACTGGCAGATGTCTGCATATAGCCAAATCCCCACTTGTCCTTTCTGAGAGCTGAGGGAATTAATTGGTTTGCCCATAGCCCATTCTCAGCACACTGGTTAGGAAGTTCTGCTTTACATTTAAAGAGCCTTTAAAACTTAAAATTAATAGTAACAGTGGCATATGTAAGCTCACTAATTCCTTCAGGTCAGTGATATAAATAGTTGAAACTGCTTTTCCTTTATTATCTTGAAGGCATAAAAGAGGGAAAAGGTCTAGATTTGAATAGCATGTCATTTTGTAAAATGTGATAGTCATGCCAAACTTATTTTTTTTTAATTAAGGAAATCAAGTATTTCTGGTAGTGCTTTATTTTTCTATATAAGTAATTTAAGTGTTTTCTTCTTAAAGCTGCTAGTACGAGTTGGCTTCAAGAGCATGTTGCAGATCTTAGTCGAAGGTAAGATCTTATGTATGGGGTTTCATGATATACATAATTTCGGAGGAATGCACAAGAAATCCATCTGTCATGGGAACTTACAGTATTCATTGCTGAAGTTACTACATGAATCTTACAGATCAGACTCTTCTTCTCCTTTTACTTTTTCTTAACTTTTAACTGATGATATAAGAAACCTTTATGAGTGAGAGAGCTTTGTTTCCAAATCCTCTTTGCTTTCTATAAAAGACATATGATGCTAAAATAACAAGTTATCGGGGTACGTGGGTGGCTCACTTGGTTAAGCGACTGCCTTCAGCTCGGGTCATGTTCCCAGGGTCCTGGG